CCCCCCCCCCCATTACAGATCTCAGCAACCGGGCATAAAAAACTTCAACTTTATTTAACAATAAAAAGAGTTGAACAGTATGCAGAATATGAGTTTGACTGCCGGGGTGTGGGATGTGGGTGTGGGTGGGAGTGTAGGTCTCTTATTTATTTTCACCCATACCTCATCAATACCCACACCGACACCTACACACCCCTTCTTCCATCGTTATTTTGATGTTCGTTCGAGAAACTTTAATGGAACCTATTGAAGATTGATGTCTGCAAATTTGACCTGATAGATTCGAATTAAAAGTGATCAGAGCATTTATTTTATTTGTGAAATCGATCACGCGATTTTCGCGATGGATCTATTTCTTGAAGAAAGCAATAACGGTTTCTCATGAACACTTGTGAGTGATTATATGGATGTGAGAGTGCAGAAGATCCACGTCCTCACCTTCACACCCACCAACATCATCCTCAATTGCTTATCTGCTTTCTGAACAACTATGATGTTAACAGCTTTATTAACTCTAGAAAGTTCCTCATGTCTATTCCTAAAATGTATAAAAAGACAAAAGAAAATCATCTTAAACAAAGAAAACAATTTCTTTTTTGTGGTGTTAAATTTATGTTTTGCCGTTATCGTCTGATGCATTTAGTCTTGACTTCAATAATTTATTGAAAGAAAAAAAAACATATACTGTGCAGCAGAAGAGCGTTGTTATGCGTAATTATGCACACTGAATAATAAAGATCAAGGGAATAGAAAATTAATAAGCATACATATTGCAATAGAGTACAGATAATATGAAAATTTTAATCAATTCTGGTTGCATGAGTGAGTCACAACATTTAGTTCCGTGCCTTGCAGTTGAGTAAATGCAATGTTTTGTATTTTTAATCTACGTAGTGGTGAGTGTATTTGTAATCATGATATTTTTTCATATGACCATGATGACCATAGTATTGAGCAGCAGTTTTTGCGCTTACTGTTTGTTCTTGCAATCTTTTTTGCATGTTTTCTGCCATTCGAACTAACATCGCAATCATACCTTTCTTGTCGTCCAAATGTTCCACTTGTTTAAGAAGAGTGATTTGCTCAGTAACTAGTGCAATAGCATCGTCTCTCTTGTCATTGTTTATCAATTGAGTAATTCTATCATCCATTTCTGCCGCAACTTGAACAGCATGCAAGGTTTTAACTTTTGGATCGATTTGTTGGATGAGTGATTCATCACTTACGAACGTTACTGATAGTTTACTAGTAACTAATAATGATTCTCCATCAACGTCACCAGGACGATTGTACTTCAACTGATAGTCGAAAATATCAACTTCTGTATCTTCAGGCACGATTCCAGAAACTATAAAATCGCAAAGAACAACGCGAAGGTTATCAACATGAAGATCGCCAAAATTTGCACCAAGTGCAATGTTTTCATGGCCCCATATTTTTGTTACGATTGTATTATTGCGACCGCGGACAATAAGTTGAGCTTGTGTTCCACAAATATCAAAAACACCCTGACGCGCTTTTGTCATTAATGTTACAATGACTTCAGTCGATTCAAGGGAAAAGAATTGACTACATCCAGCTTCAGCGATGCCCTTCCTAATTCTTGCATCAAAATCTTCTCCAACACCGAATGAATCGATTATAATTCCTTTTTCATTATACTTTGTGACAACATTCATGATTTCTTCTTTTGTTCTTAATCCAACATTAGCTGATTCATCGGATAATACGAACATACGTTTGGAATATTCAGGATATACATATTTTTCAAGAATATTGGCACCCATTTCAATAGCTCCAGATAAGTAAGTTTGACCACCGATCTTAATTTCTTCCACAGTCGAATAAAGAACTTGACGAGCTGATGCACGTGCATTTTCGAAGACATTCCAAACGGCATCATCGTAAGCAACTAAATGTACAACATCGTCATCATACAGCAAATTAAGGACAGAGATAACAGCTTTTTTTGCAAATTTCGATTTATTATTTGATGCTATTGAACCACTGTGATCAAGTACCAATACTAGATTGATTGGATTTCGTTTGGTTATTTCAAGGTTTTCTTCGTTTCTCTTTGTCTCAATCTCTAATCGAGCTCTCTTATTATTCACTACACCAATGATTGCATAAGGATTATCCGGAATACAACGAATATTAACTGAAGCCATTTTATCAGTATTCATTTTCTTTTATTGTTATTGTTCAAATTGTAATACTAAAATAACCAATAAAAACAATCATTTTAAATGCATTCCTAGGCTAAAACTGATATTATTAGACCTGTTCAGTCTTTTTTTTGTGTATGTTAAAATGGAGTACGTATAATCGAATAATTCAAAGTAATGTGAGTGTTATTTTTATTTAGCAATCTCATCACATTTTCATTTCGCCTTTCCAGCGTTCGTCAAAAGTCAACATAGCTATTGGCTATTCTAAGGAAAGATCCCTTCACAATCAAAAAAATTTTGTCAAAAAAAATTATCAATTAGAGGTGTATATATCCATGAAGATGTTAGCATATCTCGGATGTATCAATCCTATGACATAATATGTATAGAGACATGAACTGGGATTGAGGAAAATATTGGTTGATATTAGCGGGAATGATATGAATATTATTATTATTATTATTCTTTAATTGCCTTTTCATTCTTTTTTCTTAGAAATGAACTTCTTTATAAGTTAATTACTACGTAGAAGTGAAAACGCATATCATGTTCTTATTTGCAACAAGAAAAACGAGACATAAAAAAACAGAAACCACAATCTTACATAGAAGCAATATTGATTGAGATGAGTAGATACCAACCGTCTAATCAAGTAATTGATCCAATTGTTAGGAAAAAAATAAAGAAGATGACTATCTTGTGGATGGTTGATCAAAAATGCTTGGTAATTGTTTTGATAATTTCTTTTATCATCGTGAAAAAATACTGAATGCATATAAACTAGTGGAAAAATTTGCCGAGATCTGTAGTTGAGATGAAACCTCTGTCACATCTTCGCAGACCAAACTCTGACTCTGCCACGAATATAAACTTGTAATTTCTCTCTATTTGAAGTCTCATTTTTCTCGTTGAAAATACAAACATGATTTACATGTCTATTTCGAATATACCATCAAAATTTTGATAGAAAAACTAAAGAGATGTGATTTCGCAATTACGATCAATCATAAAATTGGGCATCGTTTGGGAAAAATATCGATAGTCTATCGTCGTCCAAAACGACGATATATAGAAAAAAAATGATAAAAAAATATTGACTCATTCAACTGCTTTTGAAAGCAGATCGATTGTATTCTTGCGAAATTATTCTAATCAACAGTGTAATGTCGAGATTAAGTTATTTTTTCTATTCTTTTGCTTTCGCTCCTTTCGATATGATATCGCTAAATCAACTGAAACCCAAATTTTGCTTTTCTTTTCTTTAGATTTTATTTCCATGTCCTAAATCATCTTCTGAAATTATCTAAAAGGAAAACTGATGTTTTTCTGATAAGCAGTTCGAAGAGATTATGGTCGGATGATGGCATAATCATAAAGAAACGTTACTGGATTGATAAAGAGTTGAAATAGTTTTTTTTTTCATAGAGTATGATCTCCAAAGAAAAGGAACAAACTGATAGAGGCGCTCGAACAAGCATGCAACGATCAAAACCATGCTTGCCTTCGTGTGTTGCTTGTTTTGTCAAAGATGTATGATAAAAAGTAATGTATGAGTCAGAGTTTTATCCCTTTAATAGGACTCAAATGAATTGCACAACTGTGTGGCAATCATGACAACATACAGAAAAGAATATGAAGAAATTTTATTTGTACGAAAATTCTGGTGTATCAATAGAAATCTGAGTCATTCGTTGGGAGAAAGATATTTGTACAGAGAAGAAATCGGTGTCTTATTGTAGAAGTGGAGAAAACCGTTCAGTGATGATATGTTCAGGATATTAATGAATCTTACACTGGATTTATTTGCTTTACGATTTGCATTGGAAAAATTATCCCTTGTTTCATTCAAATTTCTCCTGTTTTCTGTGCTTATCATTTCATCAGAGACATTTCACGTTTTAACGTTTACTCTGCGTGTAAAACATCTTGATCGAACATTGCAGAGAACAATCCTCATGATTTTGAACTAATCACTCATTGGAGAGTTATTTTCTTTTAGCCGTTATCAGCAATCAGTCAAAGGTTGGGTATGACTGAGGGTAGATTCAGGTTGTTGATTTATGTGTTAACCATATCCCCGTTCTGCTTACGTCATCATTATCACACCCATACCCATATCTATTTTTCAACTAGCTATTGGTTTCAAATGAAAGTTTGTGGAGACTTTCGAAGATGAAATACATACGAACACGTCAGAGAAAGTCTGCCAGAAGATTATCCTAATCTATCTATAGGTCGCTGAAGAAAAATTGTTTTTCTTTATTTTGTTTTCTCAATTGAGAGGTCTAGTCAAACCATAGTCAAATGCAAAATATTAAGTCATTCTGTTTTGCCTGTGAAAAACGCGAGCTAAAACAAGTTTCTATGGTCTATGGTGACCATCATAATTTGCTAAAAGTGAGTCTGCTCAGTATTTTGACATTACCTGACCAGTGACTGCACTGATTGAGTTTGGAGACATCTCATGAGATAGAGGACAGTGTAGGCTATATAGTCATTCTATCTAAATGACCAGCATATAGAGTAAAGAAAACGCGATGGGACAAAAGTGTCCAAAACATGAGAGAAAGTTCAAAATACCACTATACCGAAAGGGCCAATTTTTCGAGTTTAGGCATTTTTGTCCCATAGCGTTTTCTTTACTCTATACATTGGTCACTCAGATAGAATGAATTTGTAGCCTACACTGTCCTCTATGTAATGATACGTCATCAAACTCCAGCGGTGCAGTTACCGGTAAGATAATGTCAAAATACTGAGCGCACCCATTTTTTAGCGATTTTTAGCTGTCAAAATAGACAATTGAAACTTGTTTTAGCTCGCATTTTTCACAGGCAAAAATCAAATGACCTAATAATCTAGACTTTTCCGCTAGAACTTTAAAAAGTTCAGAAGTTGGTACCGAAATCTAGAGTCTAGGTTGGATGTGGGACATTAGTAAGTGTGTGGATGTATGTGATCTTTTCTTTCACACCCACATCCCACTCACATATTCAAACAAGTGCTAGACATTTGGATGATATTTCTCAGTCTAATGTTTCAAGTTTTTAAAATGTATAGATGTCTCCAGAATAAATGAGCAGAACTTTGCAACGATTCGAAGTAATAGAATAAAACACTGTTCAATCATTTATATTTGATTATTTGAATGAATAAAATAAATGATGTGCGTGCATTAGACTACCTACTATCATGCGTGTTAGAATATATCCTTAAAAAGAACAGAATAAAATCGATTAGTAATTAGATCAGTAGATCAGAAAGTACAGAACGAATAAAGATTGCTACAAGTATACAAATCCAACATTATGACTCACTGTTATACATAAATCATTGAAGTTTGTCGAGGAAAAAACATCGCTACAATGACTTTCGCGATGTTGATTTTTGCTCAACAAACAGCATGTTAATTAATATAAGTAAAATGAAAATTGATGTAGTTTGAATTAATCACAATGACTGACTTGCCTTTTGGTAATATTCATTTTGCATTTCGTTATTAATCCTTTTCTGTTGCTCGTTATACAAAGTCGATTTTTTCAGTCTTTGATTCTCATCAATGGCACTTGTGATTCTAAACACCTGACTATACCAGGTTTATCTATAGTTAAGAGAGTGACTGGAATATACGTATATTAATTCGTGATTGTTCAAGAACTTCAATAAATTCAAAGGATTCTTCTTTTCCATTATACAGTAACCATGGCAAATTATCTGAATTGTAGAGGATGAAGATGTTCTGACTTGCTTTAGATACTTTGAAAGATGACTTACTGCCATTGAACACGTTTTTATGGAAATCTATGTTCATATTGTTCTCATCAAATCACAGAATATATGACATTTCTAATTTATTATGGCTTCGAACTACTTAATTCGCTTATTGCTCTCATATTCTTGAAATGGACAATGATGTATCACTGATGAAATCTACATGATCATTTTGTACAACAAAAACTGCATTCGTGTTATTAACATTCAGTTCATCTTCATCGAAAACATCTTTTCTTACGCTGAAACAAGGAGTATTTGGCATGAGTTTTATGGCATTTGCATCTCAACAATAATATTGATCACACATATAATCTTAAGGAAAGTAACAGTACCTTTATCATTTTAAATTCAAACTATCACTTTGTTCACACTTAGAAAATAGAGCACAGGGGATATTTGTAGGATTCATTCAAGATTCTCAGCAGATATCGGTATTCTATCACATAACTCCATAAGATTGAATTTTTCCTTTGACGAATCAGGTTTTTTAAATGAAAATTGGGGAACTAACTTGCTTTGAATGATACACGCTATCAATATTTATAGTTGCTCCATGGCTGCATTAGAGAAACAGATTTTCATTGAATATGAATTCAATTAACCATATTAGTAGTAGTGTACACAGAAAGAATATCTAGATCCTTGCTCTCGTGCTCTCGAATAGGTCAAATTCTTCTTTTCTGATGAATAAGGTATCTTTCAGTGTCATGATTCCGTTCAAATATTCTTTGTTACTTCTTTTCACAAAAGTTCTGCTTGTAAAGATTAATTCAGTTCGAATAACAATTATCGACTTCACATTCCCATTTCAAATAGCAGATTTTCGATTTATTCACCGATAGATGATATCGAACTCAGATTCATAAACAATAATTCATCTCGTCATTTCATTATTCAATTGTCGCAGAAAGCGTATTGCCATTGTAAAACGTTTTTTTTATGAACGTTAATTATTAACAATCTTGCGATGGAGAACAATTTTCGTCTTTGTTTAGATTGGATCATCGATTAAAAAAAGAAACATTCTGTCTTGTCGAATCTAGCCAGATTCAAGTATTTATGTTCTACAGTACCAAAGATTGGAAAGAACGAGTTAAAGAAATGTGATTGAGTACCAGAAAAAACAAAAGACCAAATTGTCGACTGATTCATGTCAATCAGAGCTTCAATCAGGTCGATCTTTTTCATATTTCGATGACCCATGAAAGATAGAAGCCCTTTTGAGCGTGCATCACTACCAT